GCTTGTAGATGTTTGTTTGTTGCTGCTGTCTTTATGCTGCTTTGCTGCTGCTCGCTGCATGCAGCAGCAGCAGCAGCAAGGACAAGTTTTTGTTATTCATATAAATAAATTTATTCTTTTCTTTGTACCGAGGAGACGAAATACCGCAGCGTCCCTCTACACACTTGCTGCTGCGCATGCATGCATGCAGCAGCTCTTGACAGCAGCAGCAGCAACCCGAGCAGCAGCAGCAGCAGCAGCAGCAGCAGCAGCAGCAGCAGCAGCAATGGTGCAGTGCCCCCCAAAGAAAAAAACAAAAGCCGCTGCTGCGGCGACCCGTAAAAACAAACCGCAGAAGCCAAAGGAAGGCACCAAGAAAGACAAACTCCACCGCATACTCAGAAATGTATCTGCTGCTGCTGCTGCTGCTGCTGCTGCTGTTGCTGCTGGTGCTGGTGCTGCTGCTGCTGTTGATGATGGTGTTGCTGTTGTGGTTGCTGCGGTTGTCGTTGTTTCAGCTGTTGTAACTGCTCCTTTCTCTTGCTGCTGCTACTAATGCTGCTGCTGCTGCTGCTGCTGCTACTAATGCTGCTGCTGCTGCTGCTGCTGCTACTAATGCTGCTGCTGCTGCTGCTGCTGCTGCTGTTTGTGCTGCAGCCATCCAAGGCTGTTGGTGTGGCCAAGGTGGAGGCTGCCCTCGCCTCTGTGGCTCAGCCCGTGCACTCGAACTTACAAATCGTCAACACCAGCAGCAGCAGCAAAAAGTAATCTGCTGCTGCTGCTGCTGCTGCTGCTGCTGCTGCTGCTGTTGCTGTTGCAACAGCAACAGAAACAGCAACACCAGCAGCAGCAGCAGCAAGGTGCTGAATTTGTATTTTTTTGTGGTGGCTAAGAGAGGAGACAGTTGCTGTCTCCTCTCTGCTGTCTCCTTTGGGGGGAGACAAAGGAGACAGCATCTCCCCCTGTCTCCTTTGTCTCCTTTTCTTTTGTTGCGGCAAACACTATACAAAACAACGAAGTTATTTCTTCCTGCTGCTCTTGCTGCTGCTGCTGCTGCTGCTGCTGCTGCCAGCTAGCTGGGTAGTTAGCTAGCTAGCTA